CCATCCCGTTCCCCGCCTCCACATCCCTCCATTCCACCCCACCCTCCATCATCCCCGCCCTCCCTCTCCTCCCCCTCCAACATACCACGCGTGCCATAACCTCACCCATCCCTCCCCAACCAAGCACCAATCTCCCCCCCTTCTCTTCATTACCCAACCTCCTCTCCCCCAACTTGATTTCCTCTGCTCTCTCTGCATATTCCCTCTTCCTCCTCAGCGCAGCGGTCGAGCAGAGGCCGGCGGTCATGATGGCGGCTAGGAGAAAGAAGAACAGAGCTTCAGTTATGGTGAAGCTTCCTTTGCTTGAGAAGTGGAGGAGAGTGCTCATGGCTGGGAATCGGGAAGAAAAATGAATTAAGAAACAGGGGAAGCAGGATGAGGTTGGAGTGATGAGGGGAATTAATGGAGCTTATTCCTGTGCGCGCGGAGAATCCGTGATTGTTGCCGCTCTGATCTTGTGTTTGGTAAGTTTGGGATTTACTAGCCGTTGGAGTTTCACTGTTTTGGAATGGATTGGCCTCTAAGTTTTGGGTTGGGTTTGTCCCCGGTTTCTGTTCGGGCTCTATCTCGGTTTAGTAGTAGCTTTGTTTTTTGGAATTGAAGCAAGGAGTTCCTTTCTACTATTGTAAAAATTTATTGCTGGGGATATATGGTGGGATTTCTTGCAATAAAAATGTGTTTCACACAATTGGTTACATTTGTTTGGCAATTAATCTTAAGAAAGTTGAAGTAGGATAGAACTTGGAGTCATCCAAAATTAAAACTTTAGCAAATTACATATAAGGGTTAGTTGTAACTAAATTCTTAGTTATAATCATTAAATTTGCCAAAGTGATTTAAGATGCACACTAACCAATAATATAACTCCCCAATTTTCTTGTATATTTGCTAACGGATTAGAAGCTCACATTTCAAGAACTTGCTTTGAGGGATTGATTATATAAACTCTTAATAGAAGTTGATTTAATGCCTAATTAAATCATTACAAAACTATTTTTAATGGATCTTACTAGTTAATTTTCTATGTAATTGAACTAATTATGTAGCATCAATTTTGAACATTTCTAATAAAGTTGGGTCATTAGTAGGCCACAAACAAGAAAACCCAATACAAGTTCTTTTTCTTCTCGAAATTGATTCCCTTAGTTCAATCAGATTCACTTTTCTCTATTATAAGGATGATCAATTTCTTAAAATCAATTCTTTAAGATATTCCTTTGATACATATTGTTTCTCTTTTTCTCCCACATATTGGGTTTGATTTAGTTTTAAAATAAGATTTATGCGTATAACTTTGATTCTAATAGCTAGCAATTGATATGTGCAATATTAGTGCATATAATCATATCATCTTGAGCTTGCTATGATTTTAATCTTCAATTGATTTTTTGAGAGATTGAATTGTGATTATTTTATAACATATATGTTAAACAGTCATCTTTTTTATATTTATAGTATTTTGTAATCATAATCTAAATATTGAAGAATTATATTACTATTGAATGGGTCTAGGTGTAAAATTATAAAAAAAAACTTGAACATAATTTGTTAACCTTTACTAATTGGATAAGACTGCTTTTTCGTACAATAGGACCTTTTACTCTAGAAAGTTTTGTAAAGTCACATTGTTAACTTGAGTATATTTTCTTCATTTTGTGCGAAAGTTCACTTCTTTAGGCTGGATCTTTCAAAAATTTATGTGTAATCAAACATATAAAAACTCTTTTCCCAACTTTCTAAAACATAGAAATATATCTTTATATTTAACATATTTTTTCTGGACAAATTGAATTTAATTTCTTAAGATAAATCAGTTTTACCGATACTTGTTACTGATAATTAATAAATGCAAATTCTTTCAAAAAGACCATTTTCAATTATACAAGATTTAATTTTGATGAGGTCCATTATTCTTTTTGTGGCATTTTATAGCTCTACTATTTTGTTACAAATTACTTTTCTTCGTGTTATTGTTATGCAACTTTTTTTTTCTATTAATTAATAATATTCTCCATTTTATCTTTGCTAGTAACATTTTTTATAGTTAGGATACAAATATATGATCTCTCTTTTAATGAATAATTAGTTATATTTTATATTAGTGACTCCTTGATTATGTTTTCTTCTCTGCAGGCACTCTGTTTTACCAAGCTTACGTGTTATAATCACATCAAAGTCTCAATCAATTGGGATTCAAGGTCGATGGATGCAAATGTTTGGCTATGGATGACCATTAAAGCCTAGAGATCCTTTTGGATGGTGTAAGCAAGTCTTGTCTATGAATGAATGACATCAATGCCAAGCTCTTTCAATTCTATGTTAAATATGATGAGATTTACAAGGCCTAATTAATCTGACAAACAAACTAGTTGGACCGATAATCACAATTGCACCCATTAAAAAGCTCACTAGAATTCGAGATGTGAGCAGAGTTTCAACGGGACATGTTGAATCCCCTAATTTTGATATACTTTATGTAAAATATTGTTTCACTTTTTTTTTTTAGGTCCAATGATGATGAATATCATCAAGCATATGCTCTATCCCATTGAAGGTATGGACCTAATGAAAAAAAAAAAATACTATCAATTTCTTTTCAAGTTGGATATTCTATTCTTTTATGGGTATCAACAAATCGAAGATTGTCTTAACTAGAAACAAGTTGTAGAAATCTTTTTCAAATAAATGAAAATTATTCTTAAAAAGTTGGTCAAGTATGTAGGCTACTAATTAAAAAGAGTATTTGCAAAGTGGTTTCATATATTATTTACTCAAAGATGAGAAGGAAAAGGGCTATCCAAAGTTTGTTTAGGATGAAGTTGTTCTTATGGTGCCATTTCTTATTGACCAATTTTGAGTAGATGTTGATTGTGCAATATTAACATTGAACCA